CAACATTAGTAGAAGTGGGTTTGTATTTTACTTGTGACTCGCAAAGGATAAATTGATAGTATCTTAGAATATTACCATTAGATGGAAGCTGTCTCTGAGCTAAATCCCTCAATGGGTACTTAAATAGGTAAATAACCCTCGACCTTTCTGTATTTTTTCCGTTTTTTCTTATTCTGTCCTATCATCTTCTTTTTATTAGCTGTTATACCCATTTTTATATGAAGTTCGAAATAATCAGTTTTTTTTCTAAGTTTATACTAAATTTTACACTTGCATTAAAAATCTATGAAGTTGTTATTCCCTTTTGTATCATATTTTATCTAAGTTTACCGTTAAGGTTTTTATAACTCGTCGCGTTGGTTTGACAAGGTTCTAACTGGCATTTTTGCCAAAATCGACTTTATCATTTTATTAGACTATTTTAATCATGATGAACAAAATAAACTGAAATTTACAGCGATATAGCGTAAAACAAGCAAACTGCTAATGTGCCAAAGTTCTATCTCCAACTTTATTTAAATGATATTTAGTTTGACAAGGTTCTAACTAACAATAACTGCATAATCTATTGCTGGTTTTTATTAACTAATTATTATGATAAAAAATCATATAAAAAAATTTTAAAATCATATAAAAAAATATTTGACATTTAAAAAAAATCTTTTTTATAACATTCTGTAGCTTTACTCAAATTGACACCTGTAACATTGAAAAACAAAATTCTGGTTTCGATTAGCATAGAAATAACTATTATTATTCAAAATAAAAAAGGGATTTATGAGCTAAAATATTTTTTAAAAATAATGATGTTTATGCATTAATAAATTTACAAACTTTTCCCAGTCAATGCAAGTACAATTTGCCGCGCCATTCCCTTATGGTAAGTCGATCTAGCTCTATTTTGCAGTGTCTACCCCAAAAAGTAAGTCAATACTTGTTCATTTTTCTTCACTTATCTACAACGGTTACAAAGTAACTTATTTTGAATTGTTAAATCAAATATAACAGTAATATTAAAAATTAAACAACTTGTAATAAAACATTTTTGTATCAATAATAAAAACCAGGCTGCGTAGTTAAAAAAAGATTTTAAAAATGATTTGGAAGTAAAAAAAAAACAATTTGAAAAGTTATTATTTTCGTTTTAAGTAAAATATCAACAGAAAATGGAAAGAGTAGTATTTGATAAAAAAAGCAGTTATGATAGTGACGAATTTGTAGCTCCAACTAGTGAAAGCGGCGAAGACTGCTATGAATTAAGTACACGGTTAGTAACCTAATATAACTTTTTTGTGTGACTTTGGCCATGCATTTACATATAAAAATAGCTAAATTTATAAGCTTTTGAAAGGTTTTTTAAAAAGATTTTTACTTTTTAATATTTAAACAGGAAGAAGAGGCGCTTTAATTTAACCAGAACTGCACTAGAATGTTCCAGAACTGCACTAGAATGTTCCAGAACTGCACTAGAATGTTCCAGAACTGCACAAGATTCTAAACAAAGTATTGTTGAAGAAGCTTCTGGAAACAATGCCAATAATGTTTATGTAGCACAAACTGAAAAAAGTTCTGAGATAGACATGAATGTACAACCTACGAATGATGCTGAATTAGTGACAAACAAGTAAGCCAAATATGTAGTGTTCCCCCTCGATCATCCTCTAAATCTTAAATATATATTTTTTTTATTTATGATTTGTTTTTTTAATAAAAATTTCATCTAAAAAGTGATTTCGACATTAAAATCTACTATTATATACAAAGTGAACCATTTTAATCATTTAAGAACGATTTAATTAGTATATGATTATATACTAGAGATACTATTATCGACTAAGTAATAATACTCTTCTAGGGATCAAGTTCAACAAACGTTTAAGAAAAAATTCCGAAAACGAATATCTAAACCTGAAACCTGGGGATGTAATAAAAAAAAAAGGCATATCAAGCTTGTAAAAATTATACAAGTCGAAGAGGAAAACAAGTACCAAATAAGAGTATTCAAACAAAAAAAAACTGTCTGGCAAACTGTAAGTACGAATGTGCTAAGAAAATATCAGAATCGATATTTTTTCATCATTTTATGCCTTAAATTCAGCTACTGAAAAGAGGCATTTCTTTGTTACTTCGACTGATCGCACAACCACTGCTAGACCAAAAAGAAACCACGAGGAAAACAATGATAGTGATATTGCAAATAAAGAAACTGATGACCACGCTGAAAAACAAGTTTTTTCAAAAAGGAAGTACGCCTATAGATATTTTTTTCATGTAAAAAGTGAAAAATTCCGTGTTTGCAAAACATTCTACTTAACTACACTGTCCATTTCACAAAAGCCAGTTTACACAGCTCACAACACCAAAGATAATAAAACAAATACTCCTGCACAAGATCTACGAGGTAAAATCATGAAAGGCAAACGTACACCGCATAGTGATGCCAACTCAGCTAGGGATCACATAAAATCTTTTCCAACAGTTGAGTCACATTATTGTTGCGTAAGTACCAATAGAGAATACCTTGAGTCACACCTTAATGTTTCAAAAATGTATAATCTTTACAAAGAGAAATGTATAAACGAAAAAATTGAGCCAGTAAAAAAATCTATGTACTACCATATTTTCTCCACCGAATTCAATCTTAGTTTTCACATTCCCAAAAAGGATAGATGTGACCTTTGTGAGAAGTTTAAAGTTGCTGAAAACACTGATACTATTTCTGAAAAATCGAGAGAAGACTTTAAAAGACATCATCTTTTTTAAAAAAGAAATGAGAGATATACGCTCTGAAAAGAAAAAGGATAAAAATTGCGCTGTTTTACTTTTTGACCTTCAAAATGTTATTTTGACTCCGCATGCAGAAATTAGTTCCCTTTTTTATCTGAGAAAATTTAGCGTGTATAATTTGACAGCTTATTTTTCAACAACCAAAAAAGTGTATTGTGCATTATGGACTGAATCAATGGCGGGAAGAAGCGGCAATGATCTTGCCAGTGCCTTTTGCAAAATTTTGAATGATATGGCAGAGGAAAACGACTTCAGTGATTTAATTACTTGGTCTGACTATTGCATTTCTCAAAATCGGAACAGTTTATTATCAAATGCTGTGTTACACTTTTTAAGAGACAATCCTAACATCAACTCAATCACTATGAAATATTCCGTACCAGGTCATTCATGCGTCCAAGAGGTGGATCATGCTCATAGCGAAATCGAAAAGCTCATGAGGAAAACTGATTTTTATAGTCCAATTGGATTGATAAGGATGTTGAAACAAGCTAACAGAAAAAATCCTTATTGTATCATTCAAATGAAATCACATGACTTCAAGGATTATGCAGTAACAGCGAAGCTGTTTAATTACAAGTCAGTTCCTTTTTCTAACGTTGCTGTTCTAAAATTTACTCAAACATCTCATATTATACATTTCAAATCTAGCCATGATCGCAATTAACCTATGAAATGTGCAAATGTCAAGTTCAATGAAAAACCTAACAGAAAGAATGCAGCAACAAGTCCATCAACTTCCACTATTTTGAATGTAAAACCAAAGATTCAAAATTGTACAAAGGAACTTGCAGACTTAAAAAAAAAAGATATTAAAGCTGCATTTCCGTTTATGCCTCTCGAGGACAGAGAATACTATCAAGTTGTTCTTCACCTATAAAATAAACATGAAAAACTTTTAAGGGTTTTAACTCTGTACTTAATGTAATGGTTTTAAAATGTACCAAAAAAATGTAGTATAAAAAAATAAAAAATGAGTAAAAAAAATGTTGTAACCTTGTTTTGTGACTGAAACAATAATCTAATTTATGAAAATTAGCTTTTTATTATATTATTGTTTCAGTTACAAAATTTAAAGTAACTAACAGCTTCAGTCACAAAGTTTCAAAGTAACTAACATGTTTCTAACTACCGTTATAACAGCAGTTAGAACCTTGTCATAGTGAGAATATGATTATTTCACTACGACAAGGTTCTAACTGCGTTTTGGGGGTATTCATTTTTCTATAAAGAGTGAAACATTTTTTAATAAAAAATAGTAATACTTATAGCAAATGCTTATGTTATCATGAGTAAAAAATATTATCGATGAATTTTAATAAATTTTGATGGGAGAACAATTTTTAACATTGATTTGCTCAAAACTACTCTCGGATCAGTTAGAACCTTGTCAAACCAACGCGACGAACTGTTTACACAAGAATTTCTTCGTGCACAAATAAGAATTCCTTCGTGCACAAATAATTCCATTTAGAAAATTTTTCCTTTAAAAAAAATTTATAAATGGAGTTATTTGTGAACCAATCCATGAGGAATTATACCAACTAATTATATTGTCCCGAGGAAATTATATCATTCGCTAAAATTGTTCATAGGGAATGATCCCATTCTTTAATAATGTCCTATATGAATTATTTGTGTACAAATTATTACATCATATTAAAATCTATTGAAATACTAGATAGCGCTGTTTTTACGTAAATACTCACGTGTATAATACCGTTTATATATACTGTTTATATATATATATATATATACATGTGTATAATACCGTTTATACATATATATATATATATATATATATATATATATATATATATATATATATATATATATATATATATATATATATATATATATATATATATATATTAACACAAAACAAATGTGCAGTATGAAATTCACTAAAACAACCTAATTTAACACAGTTTTGGTGTTTTTCACACTGCACACCTTTTTAATGTAATTTAACACCTTTTATTTAAGAGTGTAATATACTTTTTGTATAAGTTCAAAAAGTCTGCTGAAAACTTTAGAAACTACACACTTAAATTTTTTTTAAGATAAATGTTTTTAAAGATAAATAATACAATAGATGTTTGTTTTTTTTTAAACTATAACAAAAAACTAGTGTGCTTCAAAAATGCTAATGTCCTTCTGTTAACGACAAAAGTATTTTTTTAAAACAGTATATCATAAAAAAACTAACTTACCAATGCTAAACTTCTGTTGAAAGAAATAAAAGCGGTAAATATTTACCAAATATTATGCTAACATCATAACAATCACAACAACGAAACGTTTAAAATCATTTAGAGAACGTTAAAAAAAAAATGAAAAGATAAATCACTATTCATCAAAAACAAATACAAAACAAACTTTTGAAAAACTGTGCAAATAGTTTAAAATTAAATTATAGACAAATAGCTCAATTTGTTTGAAAAAAAATCGAATACTTCCGATAGAGAGGCTGATCAGCAAAGCAAAATAATAAATTTATCAACATCAGCAGTATTTACGGGAATTATATTTAGAAAGTGTGAAATCTAATTTTGTGCAATGGGATAGAATTAGTTCTGTGCCAGAAGGACCTAGGGAAATACAACTAAAAGTAAAAAATGGTAGAATAAAATTCAAAATTGATACTGGTGTCGAAGTTACCGTTATCGGACCTAATTATTTTAAAAAGTTTGGAATAAAATTAATTAATTATATACTAGTGACAAACAATTATTAAGTCCTGAAATTAAACTACTAAATTGTTTAGGATATTTCCATAAATCATTAACAATCAATGGTTAGAACAGTGAGTTAATTACCATATATATTTGTAAGAATATGAAAACTGCTTTATTAAGTAAAACTGCCTTACAAAACTTTATTCTAGTCAGAATAAACATTCCTGAAGAATTCATTTTTCGTATGATTAAAGTAACCAAAAATAACGTAGTATAACAGTTTCCTTCAGTATTCAATCGGTTTGGAATAATTAAACGTGACCCTGTACATATTGAGATACGTGAAAATGTGACACCATACCATATTGGAGCACAAAGACAAGTAGCGTTTTCACTTCTAAAGCCATTAAGGTTAGAACTGGATAATGATGACGTATGAAAAAGATGGGTGTTATTAAAGTTGTAGATCAACCTACTGACGTCATCTGATTGTAGTTGTTAAAAAATCTAATGGACAACTTTGTATTTATATCGATTTGACACAACTAAAATAAGATAAAAAACGCGAATTCTATGAGTTAAAAAGTGCAGACGATACATTGACCCTATTAGGAAAGGTTGTAAATATATGGCTAAATTAGACGCTAACACAGGATATTGGCAACTATCATGGATTTGGAAAGTCAGTTAAAGTCTACGTTTGGAATTTTGGAAAGTCAGTTAAAGTGTACCCCACCTTTTGGTTGTTTTCGCCCAACATAAAGTCCATTTGGGTTAACGTCACTTTCATAAATTTTTTAATTTTTTAATTTTTTTTTATTAATAAATTATTAAAATTATTTAAAAAATTGATCACGTAATTGACGGTCTTAAAGGAGTCGTAAAAAGTTGATTTTTTAGCTTTTGAAAACACAGTAAATGAGTACAATTAAAATCTAGTTGCATTGCTAAGTATATTTGCGGAAAATGGAGTTACCCTTAATTTAGAAAAGTGCATATATAATCAAAGTGAAGTGGAATATTTAGGACATAAAAGAAAGTTGAAGCAATACAAAATTTCCTGAGACTAACAACTATTACAGGTTTGCGTAGTTTGGTAGGTATGGCTCAACAGCTATTAAAATTCAATCCAATACTCGCTCAATTAGCTCAACATTTGCCCAATTTCAGCACATTTTGATGTGATAAAGTCAATAAAATTGAATAAAACAGATAGAAGTTTTTTAAACGGACTTAGTGAAGTTGGTTATCAGATTCACGGAAAAAAATATAATCCAATCGAAATAGAAAGGCTAGCTGAATCATGGGGGTGCACGCGGATGTCGAAGTATTTGTATGGGCTACTAAATTTAATTTAGAAACAGATCACAAGTCAAATTCCTATATTAAGTTATAGTTTGCTTACCAAAATATCGCCAAAAATCAACAATTAAGAATAAAATTGTTAAGATTTTTATTTACTGCTGAGGATGTTGCTGGAAAGTCAATAACGGATGTTGATGCAATGTCTCGCGCACTTCTATCGCAACCTACGGGGAACAAAAACTAAGAGATGATCTATCAAGATTTCAAAATAAAAATAAGAAACCATATAAAGAACTAGAGACATTGTTAAAGAAAGAATTTTATTAAAAAACTACCGTCATAAAAATATTCGTACTTTAGCACCATATTTTTTCAAGCAAGGCCAAAATGTGGTAATTCAAAACGAAATAACTCGCAAATAAAGTCTTAGAGGTAAAACAATAAAGTGTGTAGCCCCTAGATCATATGGAGTCAAATTAAATCACAGCGAACATGTTCTCCGTTGAAATCAAATTCATCTTATAAGATTGTATACTATATTTTCTCCACACAGGACTCGAGATAATGCGGAGATGATGGTGCACAAAAGAATAGTAGCAGAAATAAAAAATATCCCAGATCAGATAAACGTAAAACAAAAAATATAAGTATCAAAAGTAAAATGACACTTGATTATGAGGATTTTGTTTTGTTTTATGTACAAAATGTAATAACTATATTTTTTTTGTTTTATGAACATGTGTCATATTTATATACATCTATCACGGCTTGATCGACTAAATCGGTGCCGGGTTTTTTTAAAAAAGAATACATTAAGAACGGTCAGCGCAAGAAAGTATCACTCAGAAAACGATTTAAATCCGCACTTAATTTATACTATTCATGCGAAAGTTTTATGTTTAAATTATGTGAGTGTTGAAAACCTTTAAATATTAGTTGATTACAATAGTTCTTCCGTCGTAAACGTAATAAGTAACTTCGCCATGTTTTGAAACCAAAGATTTGAAACCTCACAGATAATGTTTTAATTGATTTAAACTAACTGGACGGTTATATAATCAACTTACTAGCTATAGCTAATAAATAGTATCGGTTGGACAACAATTGTAATAAAAGTATTCAATTAAAATAATTTTTCTAAACTTTAAAAACAAGATTTTCTCACATTTAGTTATAATTCATGTGACATAATAAACAACTGTGTGTTAAAATCATGACATGAGATATGTGAGAAAAGTTAAATTAAAGTTGCTAACTGGTTAGCAACATCTACATTTTACATAAATTAACTTGATTGTAATACAACTCGCGCCCATCTAAATACCACTTCCGTAAGCCCAAATAAAAACCGTACGGAACCCGTATTTAGATGGGCGCGAGTTCTGGTTTCTAGATGGGTCTCGTATAGTTTAAAAATCACGCAAAATGGGCTAGAAAACCTGTGATTTTTACGGGTTTTGTACTAAATTATTAGATCCGCCTACAATATTAGTTCCCTCTGCGTAAAACTCAAAACGAAATTGCGTTTTCGGGTTACAACTGTTACTCAATCAGTAGCACTTTAATGAGCCAGAGCTGGCAAGCCAGGTCCGCCAAAAACACGTGTGATCTAGTTAAGCGTATAAGCTGGCGCAGCAGATCTGGCTAGCGATTGTCGGACCATAAGAGCACTTTTAAGAGGCTCGCCAGCGAAGGTACAAAAATGCATTGATTTTAATGAACATCTAGATTTAAAAAAGTCTTGTCTGTAGACACCTGTCTCTGTATTAAATAAAAAATAGAACGCAATTGGAAAAAGTGATCATAATCACCTGTGTGGTTAAGATATTTTGACTACTAATTTGTAGTCTATTGCAAAACATTTTTTGACTTATAAGGTGAAGGGAGTAGCAGCAAAAGGCAAAATAACAAAAAAATTAAATTGGAATTGGCAAGGTAATCTTGAAAAAAAAAATTTTTCATTGCGAAAAATGTTTTTAATCAATCAAGGGGAAATCCTTATTGATAGAGCCTGTAACTAAAATTACATAGGTAAAACAGGGTTTTATTTTCCTTAGCCTATCGACGCTTTGCCCAAAACAGTCGTTCAAAGCAATTACAAAAAACATGGATTGAACACTCCGGATAAAGAATCTTCCAACACCACTGTTCTGGATAATAATCTCAATATTTCTTATCAAATTGATAATGAAATTATTGAATTTCAAGTTTTATCTGATAACAATTCAGATATAAGTGATAAGAATTATGTAATAGATGAACTAGAGAATGATTTAGCATTTTGGTCTTCTCAGCATAATATTACACAACAAGCATTCACTGATTTAATTTTCTGATCTGTGACCAGAGCTGCTTGGATGTTAATGCATCCTAATATTTTTTTTTAAATTTGTGTTTTTTATGTATTTAAATAAAATTCATTTCACATATGTATTTTTTTTATTGTATATTTTATATGATCTCATCATCATCGTCTACATCCCCCACCTTAGTTTTCCTTTATTCTATATATTTATTCAACCTTAATTATGTTTCTTTATAATTTTTTTATTTTTAATTTGGCGTTGAGTAAAACAAGTCCTTATAGCCTGATTTAAAGATATTGTAATGTTATACTAATATTTAATTTTTTTCCAATTTTTGCATCTCAATTTTTTATATTGTATATAAGTTTTTAAGTTCTATGTTTGCTATTTCTTATGTTCTATAAAATTTAGTATTTTTTTATATTTTCATAAAAAGGATTATTGAAATGAAAAATGTTTCTTTGTTAAATTAATTTTGTTTTTTATTTTTTTAGTTCGATTATAAAGTTCTGCTCTCTTTTTTTTTATGTTTATTTTGACTACTGTTGAAATATGGTTTTAATTTATTAAATTTTCATGAGTTGAAATTTACTTTATTAATCATTAGTAAACAGTTTAGGTAATTGAACTTATCACCATTAAGGTAAGAATAACTTTGTTCACTGGTAACACCATTAAGCAGTTTTTTAAATTTAATTTTTTTATTGGTATTTTTCAATAAAACAGTTTTTATGATTATTATTATGTCATTTTTATTTTGCGTAAATATATTATTATATATTATTAACATCTTTGCTTCCAACAAGGCTGTAAGCAACCACTACTTGAGTGTGAAGTTACTGGAAGAGAAAATGTAAAGTTTTTAGAGCAAGATAATAATTGGAAGACAACTTAAAAGACTGCAAATTGTATAAATCAGGAAAGCAAGATGAAGGAAGCAAATTTTAAGAACTGATGTTCGAGGAAAAAAACTAGATTAATAAGAGTGTTTGGACTAGTTAGAAACAGTGTAAGAAAAGAGATAAGACTTAA